ATATATGTTTATTAGGATTATCATACTTCTAATTCTCAATTTAAATGAATGAAATTAATAAATAAAATCACTTCAGCAGATGTGGCACAACAGCCTAAAGGCAAGGACACTGCCTTTTGAGGCAAGAGTCATTAAGACAAAATGTATATTGCTTTTATAAAATAAAAAAGACGAATTATAATCCTTCTTTCCAAGCCTATTTCAAGTCTTTTAAAATGCACTAGGCTGCATCAGAGAGAAAAAAAATCACAGTACTAAGCCACGTTTCGTTTTCCATCCAAGACATCTCAAGGTTTATTTTATGCAGTACAACCCCAATGAGACAAACAGAGGTCTAAAAGAACGGAGAAATAAAATAAAGAAAACAAGGAAAAGCTCCCATTCCCCGCATAAACCAGTGCCAAAGGCATTAGACACATGAATAGCGGTTTTTCAAAATACAGGATGCATTTATTTCAGTCACAAAGACGCAAACAAGCGGCGTTTTAGCCAGTGTAAACGTTAACTAAATTCGTCTTACCGTTCACATGTCTGGAAATAGCATTTGGAAATACACTAAAAGAGTCAAACCTCGCAAATCATATCTTCTCAAAAGACTACAATGCACGGCTGTTGTTTTTCTTTTCTTTCTTTAAAGATACACGTCTCGCTCCGCCAGGCTTCGCCCTACCCTGGCCTTCTTGGTTTTGAATTACAGTTGAGCGCATATGGTCGCTCCCCCCTCATTGTGCCCGTCAGCGCGCGAGTGCTACAGTGCGTCACGCCCTCTAGTGGAAGACTATCTATCTATCTATCTATCTATCTATCTATCTATCTATCTATCTATCTATCTATCTATCTATCTATCTATCTATCTATCTATCTATCTATCTATCTATCTATCTATCTATCTATCTATCTATCTATCTATCTATCTATCTCGTCTTGTTATTTTTGTCCACTGGACATATGGACATTTTAAAATGTTGCTTCTGAATGTTGTGATGTCTGTCTGTGTTCCCCCTGTCTTTGTGCATTTGGTTCAGTCCTGTTCCCTGTTTTCCCGCTCCTCGTTTGTGTTCATGTATACCACGCCCCTCGTTATCTTGTTTAGCTTGTTTGCCCTTGTATTTAAGCCCTGTGTTTCAGTTCAGTCCTTGTGAGTTCTTGTGTTGTTACTGTCGATGTTGGTTTTACTGCGCCTGAGTCTTGTTCCTGGTCTGAGTCTTTGTATTGTTTTCAGTTTATGGAATAAAGTGTGCTGCATGTGGATCCTGCTTCCTCCTTGTTTCTGCTGCATCGTGACAGAAGAACTCACCAAAGATGGATCCAGCAGTTGCCAGCAATGGAGTGCTAATAAGAATGCTTTCTTCAATGTTCCAAGACGGACAGCCGATAGAGTGGTATGTGAGGGACTTTGTAAATTGCTGTCATCTGGGATCCTTGGATGACACCCAACTCTTGGACCTGTTTTGGAGCGGGCTGGATGCGGATATTGCTCAGCGGATGCCGGACGACTATACCGGCTGGACCCTAGAAGGGTATATCGACCTGGCCCTTTACTTGAGCGGTTCAGCTTTTACTGTGGGCTTGGCCGATGAAACACCCCGCAAGCTCACAGTACCCCCTGAGTCAGTTCACGTCAGCCCCGTCCAGCCTGAGTTCCTTCACGTCAGCCTTACAGAAACCGTCCAGCCAGAGACCGTCCAGCCAGAGACCGTCCAGCCAGAGACCGTCCAGCCAGAGACCGTCCAGCCAGAGACCGTCCAGCCAGAGACCGTCCAGCCAGAGACCGTCCAGCCAGAGACCGTCCAGCCAGAGACCGTCCAGCCAGAGACCGTCCAGCCAGAGACCGTCCAGCCAGAGACCGTCCAGCCAGAGACTGTCCAGCCAGAGACCGTCCACGTCACGTCTGCCCAGCCAGAGACTGATCACGCCACGCATGCGCCGCCTGAGCCCTCAGTGACCGCAACACTGGCCATTATGGCCACAGCCATGTGGTGTGTGTGGGCTACGCACACACTTGAGCCGGTGTCCGCTGATCCTGCGCCAGAGCCCGCTGATCCTGCGCCAGAGCCCGCTGATCCTGCGCCAGAGCCCGCTGATCCTGCGCCAGAGCCCGCTGATCCTGCGCCAGAGCCCGCTGATCCTGCGCCAGAGCCCGCTGATCCTGCGCCGGTGTCTGTTCCTGCTGATGACCCCATGGCTGCCCCTAAGAAAATTTTGGGGGGGGGCAGTAGGACCCTGGATGGGACTGTGAAGGCCGCACCCCCATGGCCGCCCGAAGGGTCTTCTCCGCCATGGCCGCCCGAAGGGTCTTCACCGCCGTGGCCGCCCGAAGGGTCTTCACCGCCGTGGCCGCCCGAGGGGTCTTCACCGCCGTGGCCGCCCGAAGGGTCTTCACCGCCGTGGCCACCCGAAGGGTCTTCGCCGCCGTGGCCGCCCGAGGGGTCTTCTCCGCCGTGGCCGCCCGAAGGGTCTTCACCGCCGTGGCCGCCCGAAGGGTCTTCACCGCCGTGGCCGCCCGAAGGGTCTTCACCGCCGTGGCCGCCCGAAGGGTCTTCACCGCCGTGGCCGCCCGAGGGGTCTGCTCCACCCTGGAAGCCTGAGGGTCCGACAGCTCCGCCCTGGATGCCCGAGGGTCCACAGCCTGCTCCGCCCTGGTCACGCCCACAGCCTGCTCCGCCGTTGCCTCGCCCTCAGCCTGCTCCGTCGTGGAAACGCCCACAGCCTGCTCCGCCCTGGCAGTCTGTTCGTCCTGCTCCGCCCACGTTCCATGGCCCAGGTCCGCCCACGTTCCATGGCTCATGCCCGTCATTGCAAGGCCCTGGTCCCGTTCCCTGCGCGGACCTGGCCCTCCGTCCCCGGGACCGCCTCCGCTCCACCACCCTCCCGAACTGTCTTGTTTCCTGTTTTGTTGGGCGTCGGGAGCCGCCCATAGAGGGGGGGCTATGTTGTGATGTCTGTCTGTGTTCCCCCTGTCTTTGTGCATTTGGTTCAGTCCTGTTCCCTGTTTTCCCGCTCCTCGTTTGTGTTCATGTATACCACGCCCCTCGTTATCTTGTTTAGCTTGTTTGCCCTTGTATTTAAGCCCTGTGTTTCAGTTCAGTCCTTGTGAGTTCTTGTGTTGTTACTGTCGATGTTGGTTTTACTGCGCCTGAGTCTTGTTCCTGGTCTGAGTCTTTGTATTGTTTTCAGTTTATGGAATAAAGTGTGCTGCATGTGGATCCTGCTTCCTCCTTGTTTCTGCTGCATCGTGACACTGAAGGTTGCAGCTGCGCCTCTAATGTAAGCTTATGATGACCATATTCATTATTAAACAAGTATAAATCTCTTTCTAACTAGACATAATAGGAATTTCCTCTTATAAATACCTCAGGAGGCTTCTGTCAAAAAAAGTGCTCTGCATAAGCTGGTATTCCATTACCTTTACATAAAATAAAAATAGTAAAGGAAACGCATGATAAAATTAATATTACTGTGTAGCCATGAAAAAGATAAGCCACTGATGCCACTATTTTTTAGTCACATTTTTGTGGTTATATTATGTATTTGAGTTTACCTTTAGTGGCTGGGCATCATACATGCTGTGATTCAACAATAGGCTGGGCAACTGTTCAAATAAAAAAAAAAGGCCATGGGAGATTAACGCTTATGATTGTAGCCTACTTTTAGTTTTTGTGTTTATAGAAAAATGTCCATAAGAGTGAAAAAAAAGTATATATAGGCTATATATTAAAAGAGTGGTTGTGGTAGTTAGATTATCTTTACTGAACATGTTCAGAATAATAGATATTAACTAAGCAGTTCCAGACAGTATTTCGTAATCCCATCCACGGTATCCCCATAACCAAGATCTTTATACTGAAAACATATGTAACCTACAGCTAACAAGAGGAATTAAGAACAGGAACTATGATGAACAAACACAAAGCTTTGTTATAAAGAAAAGGAAAGGGTAACTGCAAGGTAGGCCTATTTGATAGTGATGTTTAAATGTGTGTTGCCCTCACAAGCTGCAACTAAGAAAAACTCTAACCCTATATTTTTACCAAAGCAAAGAGTCCCTGCAGTGATAAAGGGACAGGTGCAAGTGCAAAACCATGCGCACACAATTTCTAAAAGCTCAGATTTTATAAATCTATGCAATCTACATTTAGCCAGAGATTTTGTTTAACTGTACTTGAATTGAACTAAAATGTTTTACTCATATATTATGTCAAGTCACCTTTATTTATAAAGCGCTTTTACATTACAGATTTTTAGAGAAAAAGCTTTTCAGTGATAACAGGAAAACAGTTAATTTCGGCTGTATACAGTAGCTATAAAGAAAATAGTGTCATTGTTCAGCTGAAGTCAGTTCAGTGATTCAGTTCCGTTGTAAAGATTATCAATTATTAAATTAGTTCATTTCATCTATAAAACCGTGATGATGTCATCATGCAGCTCAGTTCAGTTATCATCAAACAGTGTCAGTGCAGTCAAATAAATTATATTGTTAAATATAAACTGTAAGAATAGCCTATTATGGATAAGAGAATGGGTAATCATAACTTTGAATAATGGAATGGACTATTTTACTGTAGGCTATATCCGCAAGCTCACAGCCATAAATTATTAGGCTAATATTCCTTGAGACTAAACGTATCTTCCACCAGAGGGCGCTTGGGGGCTCAGAAAATGTAATCCTCTATCGGCCCCAAAGACTGTAAAAAAAAAAATCGGCCCGCATTTAAAAGTCTAGATTTTTTTCTGTTACATTTGCACTAAAATGTATAGCCATTTATTCCGCTGATTACAACTTCGAATACCTGGCAAACAAATTAAAACCTGGCCAATCAATCTTTATAAAATTGTTACATACAAGAAGAATATAGGCTACAGTAATCACAATGATCTGTGATTGGTCCGTCCTGACCAGCGCTGTAAAAAGTTGCAGATGCCATGTAACAACCTAATCTCCAAACTAGCACCGTTTATCACCGCCCTTTGTCGGACACAAACACGCAATCTACTAGTTTATAATTTCTACGGCAGTGACGTAGGAGAGAGGCGTTGACCATTATCATATCACTCTTCTTGCAAAGTGCAAACAGAACAACAGACCACCTCAGCGCGTAGGTAAAGCTTTATTTCTGGTTATTAAGCTATACTTTTATTAATCACAATTTATCAAGTTCTAAAGGTTTAAAATAACTTCATTTGATTCGCTCTTGGCTTAGCTCAACCACGCGGTGTTGTGCAGTTATCTCTGTTTTAACGTTAATTTTAAGCAGGATAAATTCCTGGTTTCTGAAATAAGTCACAGAAACACATTCTCACCTCACAATCTTAGCAAGGAATGTAATCGTTTTATTAATGTTAAAGGAAAACTATTTTGTGTACCTCTGACTTTTGCCCTACATGACCTTTAGCCCACTGCCCAGCTGTAAGTAATAATGACCAATTATTATGCAGACTCTCTTTCTGTCTGTCTCAAGGCTATGTTGAAGGCTGTAACCAGGTGCCTTTGGTCAAATTCTGTTGCTGGCAGAAGAATGCTGTCCCATCATATATCACCAAATTTGTCAGGAAAAGTTGCTATAGTAACTGCATCCACAGATGGGTATGATGCTTGATTTCCAATCTTAGCCCACTGTTCTTTAGTTTCAGACCCTTAAAATAAAGAGCTTTCACAGCAAAAAAAAATGTCCCTCTGGTAATAACTGCTACAACTGCTAGTAAAACTTATTAATATAAATAATGTAAAAATGTATTTGCCAATACTTGCGTAACATACTGACAGACCCTTGCACCGACTGTTCTCCTCAGGATTGGGCTCGCAGCCGCAGAGGCCTTGGGTCAGAGGGGAGCGCATGTGGTTGTGAGCAGTCGACGTCAAACCAACGTTGACAAGGCTGTTTTACTCCTACGCAGCAAAAATATACAAGTAATAGGTACCACATGCAATGTGGGGAAGGCAGAAGACAGAGAGAAGCTCATTAACATGGTGAGGAGTTTTTTTTTTTTACAAATATATTTAGGGAATTATGTGCTAAAAGCAGTAAACCTCCAAAAAAGTTTGTGGAGATTTGCAAATGTATAATATACTTTGGCAACAAATGTTTTAAAGTCACCATGAAATCAAAATGTACTTTTTTTTAAAATGGAAAATTGCATTTATAATAAATGATTTATCCTTGCACAATGCACATCATTAGTATTTTTCTTTAATTCATATGCCCTCGTAATCTTTAATCAAAGTAACTTCCCCACCCTCATCTCTTCTCTGATGATGCGTTTACTGGCGTGAGGGCGGGACAACCTGTCACTCACATGACATCACTGCAGTAACAAACCACAGTTATCCAACAATCCAATCAATTCCCAATGTACAAAATCAAGTCCCACCCTACAATTTGTTTCTTGTTCGAGAAGCAGTTTCACTAGCATATGTCACAATAGAGAAGAAAAGACTATCGCAACTTCCGTTTTATAGCGACTTTAAATGTTGCTGTTTACTTCATTTATTGCAGACAATCGAGCAGTGTGGCGGTGTGGACATACTGGTGTCTAATGCAGCAGTGAACCCATTTTTTGGGAACATATTAGAATCCACCGAAGAAGTCTGGGACAAAGTATAACAAAGTTATTAAACCTTAATAAAAGAAATTAAGCACAAATAAAAAAAAACAGTAGTGTCCGTAGTAGTGTACATATTTTATTAATATAATATATAACGTATTATAATATCTAAATAATTTTACTGACATTTTATTGACATTTGCTTTATGTCTGCAGATACTTGGAGTGAATGTGAAGGCTTCTTTCCTTCTCATAAAACAAGTCGTGCCTCACATGGAGAAAAGAGGGTGAGAGACAAGTAAAAATAGGGGGGAAAGAGGAAGAAACAGAAGTATTACAAAATAAACTATATCTGTGAATACGCTTTCATTTTCAGAGGTGGGTCAGTTGTCATTGTGTCTTCAGTTGCAGGATACCAGCCAATGCAAGTATGAAGACCTATAAGTTTAATGTAAAGTTTAATCATGCAACAGCCATGTCAATTCACTGATTATAACACTGTTGTTTGTAGACTTTTATCATCTCTTACTTGTGTCGGACTAGTTGAGAGTTCCCCTTTATGTCATTCTTCAACTCTTAGGGTCTGGGCCCCTATAGTGTGAGTAAGACCGCCCTGCTTGGTTTAACCCGAGCGCTTGCTCCTGATCTCGCCCAGAGTAACATCCGGGTCAACTGTGTCGCCCCTGGTGTCATCAAGACACGTTTCAGCGCTGCTGTAAGTATTTCCTACACTTCTTTTTTGATTGCTTTCACTTTCAGAGCTTCTGGGAGACTCATCTTTTTGTCTAATTATAATTTGACAGAGGAGACATCAGAAACAACGTTCAGCTGTATAACCCTTTGCTTCTGTTCTGTAGCTGTGGGAAAATGAAGGTGTGCTGGAAGAGTTCTTGAAACAGACGAGCATAAAAAGGTCCGTACATTTGCTGTCAAGGCAATTAAATAGTTTTAAACCTAACAAAGGAAGTGGAGCTTGAATAATCATACCTAAGGGTCACAGGAAACGTTTACTTAGACTTCAATGTTTAAGATTTGCATTACTGCATGAGTAGGAGAATTAACTGAATGGTGACACCAGAATTAAGCAACAAAAATATTACATATTTAAAGGGATGGTTCACCCAAAAATTTAAATTAGCCCATGAAATACTCTCCCTCAAGTCATCCTAGGTGTATATGACATTCTTCTTTCAGACAAATACAATCGGAGTTAAATTAAAAAATGTCCTGGCTCTTCCAAGGTTTATAATGGCAGTGAATGGCCATTTCTGTTTTGAAGTCCATTAAAGTCCATCTATCCATCATAAACGAACTCCACACGGCTCCGGGGGGTTAATAAAGGCCTTCTGAAGCGAAGCGGTACGTTCGTGTAAGAAAAATATTCATATTTTAACACGTTACAAAGTAAAATTCTAGCTTCCGGCCGCCAAACGACCATACGCAGTTTACTTACGCCTAAAGCGCAACTTATGCAACTTGTGACGTCGGAAGTAGCATAGTGTGTCATGGCGTTGCGTAAATATCAGCAGTACGTCGCATTACTCGCATAAGTTGCGCTTAGACTTAAGTGGAATCCATGTGTTTGTTTGGCCGGAAGCTACTGTTAGTTACTTTACTTTATAAAGTTTTAAACATGGATATTTTTCTTACACAAATGCATCGCTTCACTTCAGAAGGCCTTTATTAACGCCCCGGAGCCGTGTGGAGCACTTTTATGATGGATCCTTTTCATAAGTTTTTATACGTCTCTTACGTTCTGGTTCAGGTAACCTGATTTGTATGTTATGTCTTGTATCTCTTAGACTCGGGGAGCCAGAGGATATAGGTGGTGTGATTGCGTTCCTGTGCTCAGACGAAGCCTCGTACATCACCGGAGAGACCATCACTGTAACTGGAGGCATGAACTGCAGACTGTAAGAGGACTGGCATAGAGGCAGTAAAACAGTTATCATGTACTTGCACATAAGAGGGAAACCTTCTAATTCAGTGACACACTTGTAGCGGTTGATGAAGAAATGCATTATACATTAAAAAAATTGTAATAAAATAATTTGTGCTATTTTTTTTCCATTTATTTAGTAATTTTAATGTATTACTTGGGATTCTTACATCTTTCAATCAGTGAATTTGCATGACTTTTCCAGTCATTGGGAATCACTGATATTAAATGTTTTTTTTTTTTTAAAGATAAAAAAATTACACTAAAGATTAGCCTAATGAACAATTTTTGCTTGCCATAGACAGAAATAAGAATTTTTTCTGATATTTCAAGTTTTCTATGACAGTGAGCAGCACCCTGTTTAGAATGATCAATTTCCTTCAAAGAGTACAAAACAGATCTAGTACTAAACAAAATTCTTCATTTTAATATATTGCATTACAAAACATCATCATCATACATGATACCATCAGATACATACATTAAAAATAAAATAAGTTTCTAATTATAAATGTGCACACTTCCTTAAAAAAAAAGCAGGTATGCTTCCTTGGTTACAAACATACAACACAGTAAGGACCTTCTGTCTCTTGATAAAATATAAGATTTGTACAATCTGTAACAACAAAAACTGCAGCATCTAAGTCTTTAAGCAAGAATGATGTCCCCATGCAACTGCATCAATGTCTGCTTCCAGGAGACAAAGGGGGACAAAACACAGGATTCCAGAACTCCCGGAGAGTGGGCACATATGTACCATTCTTTGTTTTGAAATACTGCTGATTGAATACCTGACAGGAAATTTACAGGAAAAAAGGCGAGAAGTCACAAAAACATAAATTGGATTGAAACAACCACAGTTCAGACACAAATTACACCTAGCCCTAGACCGAAAAGTTTTGGAAATAAGTCTTCTTAAAAGGCCTTTTTGGTTGAAGTTAATTTACATATTGTTCAGGAATTTTCTGCAAATGACATTCAAACGGAACCAACTATATACCACTATATAGGGCCACATACACACTGCAAAGTTGAGGATGAAAACCACTTTAACAATTTTGCGGTGTCTGTGAACTTGCCATAGTTCCCAATGTTATATTAGTAACTGAAAAAGTAATATTGTCTGGCAATTGTTTAAAAACCATTGTCATGTGTTGTATGCACATAAAGTTGCAACTTAGAAATATCTCTCAGCATTGTATCGCAGGGAGTAGAGACAGATTTAAGAGAGACATACTTCCTTCTCTGTGATTTGCTAACACCACTCCTGGAGAAGAGACACACATTGCAGGCTCGCTTTCAGAGTCCAAAAGTGAACGAAGTCACAGCATTAACTACTTGCTCAGTATGGTCTAGTACAACACTACATGGATTTAATTTTGATAGCCAAACTCTTGTGTACAGAACACAAATAAAGCACTCAGAAGAGTGACAACTGTATTTAACTGCAGTGTGTATATGGCCACAGGAACCATAAGTACTGTACAACTCTCTTGAGAAGCTCTGGACATTGAATTAAATGACCGAACCTTCGCTCTAATCACTGTTTCTACATAACATAAAACGTTATTGGTGGTTTGAGTCACGTAGGTGGGGTTACAAACCTTTTTCTTCACATTGCCTGTTGTGTCATCATCAGAATCATCTATGATGTCATCTGATGACTTCACTGAGGGAGATGGTGTTTCTACAACAGACGAAAAAACTAAAGTTAGACCTCTGGCATACAAAAACCTAAATGAAACGCATGAAATTAATAAAATTTGTAGTCACCTGGAATACCCATTGGAAGACGCACAAGTGGAACACACGGAGAGTATGCAGAAGTTCTAAAAAAACAAGCAATTTAGACAAGAATGAATTAGACATAAATTAATGTATTTATTAAACATAAATAATTAACTACAATAAATAATTAAATTATAATATTAAATAAATAAATTCTTACAACTTTTTGACTGATAAAGTCAGGTGTTTTTCAGGCGTTGAACTCAAATCAATAAATTTCCTTTTCCGCAGCTCAGAGACACTGTTTCCCCCTCTGTCTTTTAAAGTAACCGGGCTTGGAGACCTTTTAATTTCCTGCTCATCAGACGGATGATTCAGGCGGACAGAAAGATTGGCATTGCTGATGTTTAATCTAGGAAGGACAACTCTTAGTTGACGCGTCACGCAGGAAATGCGGAGTGCTTCTTCCTGTGACTCGATGGCCTCTGAGTTTCTATTAGCGGAATATTTCCTGGTAACATCAACTCTTTCTTCATTTCCGTTCTTGACTTCAGTCTTTTTGGGTCTGTTTGCACTCACATTACTCCCCTCCATATCTTCTTTGCTGCCCTCTTCCTCCTCTTCTTCTACTTCACTGCCAGATGACTGACTGATCACTGTGACCAACATATTCCCGACAAAACAGTCCTCTTCTTGATCCTTTTCCAAAATCTGTTTTTTAGAACATGATCTTAGTTTGCTCCTGGTATTTCTGGGTATCTCTGAAGTTGATTCGACTTCTTGTCCTAAACGGGATGCTTCTTTCTCATTGTTTTTTGGGAGATCATTTTGGAAAATGGAGGAAATGGAAATGGAGCCAATCACAGGTGTGACCTGTAACTGGGCTTCATTTGCTGTTCTGCGAGTGGCTCTGGCTGTTGACGGGGCCAGATTTGAGACTCTGTTGGATGTGGGAGTGGATTCGGTTTGAACAGTCTGTAGCACTCTACCCGAAAGAGGGAGGGAAAGAGAAGTCAGGATCAAGTCACCAGTGGATGACAGAAGAGATGCTGAAACAGAGAAAAAAAAAAATACAATAAAGATATTGGGAGGCAAAAAAAGTAGACAGAGTACATGTATATTTAATCTTGTACTTCTCGATATGCAATAACTTGATCATTTCAGCTCCCAGACGTACTTGAGCCGAGGTGTCCGAGGCATCTTTCATGCTGCAGCAGAGTCCTGAGGAGCTGGGGCTGCGAGGCAGAGCGCGCACACTCCTCCAGAACAGCAGGGGCGCCACTGAGCCACGAGACTGTCTGAAACAGACAGCACAATACAGAACAGTGAGCAGAAACAAAATACTGGCCATGACCCAAATGGCACCATCAGCACTTGCAGTCAGTGTTTGACCAAGCTTAAGGGACCTAATCAGCAAGAGTGACCTTGAATACTTCAATCAGCCAATTCACTTCTTTACTTTGGGAAATTATTATAAGCAAATACAGTGTAAAGGACCATACTTACAACTCACACTTGAATATCTTTTTTTATTAAACATCAACCAAGTAATACATAAAGCATTACAAAATTTAACAACAAAAAAACTCACATATAACATTTGTGATAACATCTTTAGGTAGTGCAAGAAAGTATTTCCTCCTTTCCAAATATTTTAGACACAATTTTATAATTCCTCTCTGAAACAACATTAAAGGCTTAGAATGCAAAATTTTCAAGAAAAATCGAGAACAAATTCTCACATCTGATTTGTTTTGCCATGATGTTAGAACTAAAGGTTATTTTCATGCCATGAACAGGGTAGTTTAAAATAAAGTAACAAACAATTAACTCTTAGAGCACTGTAAGAAAAAAAACAACAACAGATTTTCTAAAAAATGAAAAATAATGTTATTGTCCTGAACTATATGGTGAATTATACCTGAGCAAGATCTGGAACAGGTAATAGCTTGTCCACCCGGATTATAAACTCCCACATTAGCTTCTCTAGACTGGCTACATAGTTTCCTCCATAGTGAAGATGGAATTCCTCCTGGAGTCAAAGACAAAATGTCAGCATGCATAAATCAGATGTCGCATTAACTCAAGATTTTCAGGCATTTACAAAATTTTACAAACATTGATGGATTATTTAAAACTACCTTCTGTCATCAACAGAACTAAATAGAAGATATTTGAGATGCTAATATAAATAAAATAAAGTTTTAAAGTGCCCCCTTATGCTTTTTTGGATATTAACTTTTACCTAGTGTGTAATAGCTGTTTGTGAATGTAAAAGGACTGCAAAGTTTTAAAGATCAAAGTGCATGATAAATGGAGTTTCCCAAAAGAAACAACCGATTATTGAACTAATTAAATTCTTGATCGAACCGTTTTAGACATTGTGAGAAAAGAGGTGATGTTGTAATGTATAATATGACAAAATAAAAATGTTTTTTGACCTTGGATGCATGTAAACCTGTTGTAGGAGACCTTCAAAACAAAATTAGGACCAACAAAATCGTTTTTGCTTTACCTTGAAGAATTGTTTTCTGGCTGCTGGGTTCTTTAGGAGAGAGTGCACCAGGGTTTTGAAGTTGTCCTTAGCTTCCTCCACCTTTTGATCCTTCCTCTGAGGATAAAAGAATGTACATCAGTTGCTAATGCATCGAACTATTGTGAAACAACATGCAAGAACAATCATTTAAACTTCTAAAGAAGCTAGATGAGAGAGTAAAACTAGAAAAACAAGATGAGACAAACAAGCAAGGAAAGAGACAGCACCAATGTCTGGGCCAAACTCACCCTTCCACTGGGAATGGAGGAAGCTTCCAGCTTGCACAGCTCCTCCAGAACATGCGGAGCATCAGGAGGGTCGGATCGACGAAGCTCCTCTAAGATCATCTCCAGATTAACAAGGTAAAAATCAAAGAAATGTCCTTATTATTTGCAAACCAAAGAAATCTTAGAAAACAAGCTTTAAATATAGGACCAAAAGCTACTTTACTGAACCACACTCTAATAGACGATGTACAATGCATATGTACATGACTGAGAATGACATAAAATATGAAATTATATAAAAAAGGATCAGCTGTTGGTTTACTTTTTTTTTTTTTTTTTTAAATGTGACAGTACTTCTTAGTAATCTTACCAGTGCCCGCAAACCCATTGTCAGCCTGGCCCGATGTCTGTAATGGAGCAACCCAGGTACAGTCTCACAGAGTGATGTTACGATCTCCTCCAGTTTACCATAATACACCACATCCCTCTTCAGCATCACCTTCCACATGGCTGCGGACATTAACCGCAGTGGTGGAGCCAAAAGCTGCAGAGCTGACAGGGGTAGAGGTGTAACGTTATCTGTTGAAAAAAGACCTGAAACAATTATAACAAGCAAACCGTACTGAATCTTGAAGTTATAAATAGCTTCGTTTTCTATCTATCTATCTATCTATCTATCTATCTATCTATCTATCTATCTATATATCTATCTATCTATCTATCTATCTATCTATCTATCTATCTATCTATCTATCTATCTATCTATCTATCTATCTATCTATCTGTGTGTGTGTGTGTGTGTCTTTAATTGTTCAATTCACACCTGTCTATATAACTTAATGTGTATATAGCCTATATAAATATTATAGATATGTGCTAAAATGACTTTAAAATAATTTTTTTTTTAAATACAGTAACAAAATAGTTTAAAAAAGTACAACATGTCAATGTTTAAAATGTCAACTACCGAAATTGTATGATTAAATTACAGCTATAGGAAATATCTTGCATCTAATGACAGCAAATGCACGAAAACCAAACATAAAATCCGATTACTCTTCTTTTATTAGTAGATTATTACGAGCTACAATGCAGACCCACCTTCATCCATGGAGTTAATCGCTGTTTTCGTTGTAACTTAATGTCCGTCCTGAAAACAAACAATTTCGAATGTTTTGCAAATCGCTTATTTGATGAAAAAAAAAAAATCCTTTATATACGTTAGCATAAACAGTCATCTACAATATTCAGAGGGTAAAGGACAATTGGACAACACTGTGTGATAACGGTAAGGCTTTTTTTGTCGTATGATCTATATTTCATGATTCATATGGAAATAATGCTGGTCGCAGCCATAGACAGGTCGCAGCAAGAATCCACTTCACCCGCCAAAATGACGAAATACTGTTTCCGGTGTGAAGTACACCAAGAAGAGAGCTGTTCAACAACAACAACAACAACAAAAAAACATATTAGTCACAAATGTTTGTAGGCAGATGTTTTTATTGGAATGATATTACAATTCTTTACAATATGCTAACTTTATTTTATTTTTAATCAAAGTTATGCGAATGTTTCGTTGTTTTGTTTTTCCAGTAAGACGTGTAGTTCCGTCTGTTGTTTTGGTTTTCAAAATAAAAGTCTTCCCAGTTCAAGCATTGTGGATATAAAAATAGATGCTCCCACCACAATGTTAGCAGCACTAGGTTTATTCACTGACTTTAATTAAATGCATTAACATCCACAGAATAACTACAAATAGATATTCGCTATAAAAACAATTTGGTCATGTAAAAACCTCAGGTTTCAAAAGAGCAGAGTTTAAAACTCTGAAATATATCCTAATAATGAGATAAATAAAATACCTAAAAAGTTATTTTTTTTAAGCAAAGAAAAATCATGCAAAATTATGTTTATGTTTTCTATTAGTGTTGTGGGGTAGAATTTATTTACAACAGCATTTATTTACAGTATAGGGATAAGTTATTGGTTTACAAATAACTTTAATGAATTTGTAACAGATAAATGTGGGGAAATCATTTCAAAGTTTCAAGCGCACAGACAGCAATAAGTGTTAAACACTTCCCAGTCTCCCCATAATTACATCATGCACACCTTGGCTCCTAAACAGTACAATCAAGAGACCTTGCCCAATGACACATGCTATCAGACTAAATCATCCTGCAAAGTCAAAGTCCACTTGGCTAGAAAGAATCACAGTACACGTTATTCTCAAAAAGATATTCAGCCCTAGCTGTGACTCAGTATGACCAGTTTACTTCAAACAGTGAGGCAGAAGGGACTGTACACAACCGAAATTGAGTGAATAGACCGAGGACCTCGACCACAGAGCATAATGGAAACAACGTCCTCCCTGTTCAGGTAAGTTTAGTAATGTAAATTTGTTGACAATAAATTCTGTTATTTATAATATACCATTTGAAGTATATGTTTTAAAAAGCTGCCACATTTACATAGTAGCCAAAGTATTTGACCAAAGGTGATAGTAAATAGATAAACAAAATACATATTTATATTTTTTGTTTAAAAAGTATATCATTGTTTGTCTGTAAGTCTTGAAACATTGGACTTTAACTGTTGGTTTCACAGCACATTTGTTTTATTCCGTTAACAGCTCTTTAGATAAGAGAGAGTCTGATTAAGGCCATGTGTCTGTTCTTGTCCTACTTTTAAAGGAGACATTGATTATTAAAGGAAAAGAATATTATTCAAAATATTATTTTTTACACATCCTCATGTTGTTCCAAACCTCTGTGGCTTTTTGGTTGCTCTTGTCCATTTAGTTCTAAAGAATGCGGACTGTTGGTTTCAAACTTAAGAAAGGACACAAAAACACGCACAAAATAATAGGCCTACATAAGACATTGGATAGCTTTGTGTTATAAACAGACAGAAATCTTAAGTCTTAAATGATATTTTAGTTATAATCTTCTCGTTCAAGTGAGCTGTTATCAGATCAGTGAGTCAGTTGAACTTGAGAACCAGATCATAATGATTTAGACAGGAGATGATTCAATGATCAAATAAAAAGAACAAATTGTTCACAAATCAGGCATCACTATAATTCTCTCATTAAAAATGCCAAGAACAGCTAAGGAGGTTGTCCAGATTGTCTGTGAATATCAAATTTCATTCTGTTCCTCACACAAAGCTATCGTATATGACTTCAAAAGGCTTGAAGTACATCAGTCATATGAACTAGTACAGACTTGTTTTAACGTTTTCGAAAGAAGTCTCTTATGGCCTACTCACCAAAGCTGCATTTACTTGACCAAAAATACAGTAATATATTCAAATATCATTACAATTTAAAATAACCAATTTCTATTTGAATATGTTTTAAAATGAAATTTATTCATGCGATGGCAATGCTGAATTTTCACTATCAATTTCTCCAGTCTTCATTTTCGATCCAATAAAATTTCAGTCTGTTCATCACACAAAGCTATCACATGGCTTCAGAAGACTCATGTGTCAAATGATCCAAGCAGACCAGTACAATTCATCAAAATCCTTTGAGAAAGAAAGTCATAGTGAGGATGTAGAAACGGAAATAATGGGAATTGTAGTTTCTGGGGAAATTGTTCCTTTTCTAAACTGATTCCAAAAACAACTTTCCAACATTCCAACATACAACATTTCACTTTCTTGACCTCTTTTTCTTTTCTGTCTTTGATGTTTTGCTTCCTCCTCATTTCCAATCTCTCTTTCTTTCAGGTCAGTGTCTCGGCGGGTTTGGTCGCCCCCTCAGCGTCCGTTCAGAGTGTGTTCCTGGAACAGAGAGGTCAAAAAAGGACTCACTGCAGGAACCATAGAGGAGCTCCAAGAGAAGGTATGAAAAGAAAAACACAGTTTTAGTTCAACTGAAAGTTTTTACATATTTGATCATGTTGTGGGACATTTTTATACTGTGATTCTTACCTCAGGCAGCTCAGGCTCTCTTGGTATCGTCTGAGCTGACATTGGTGTGTGAGGAAGATGGGACAGAGGTTGACTCCGATGACTTCCTCATAGCCCTGCCGGACAACACCGTTTTCATGGCCCTGAACCCTGGAGAGATCTGGAAACCTCATCCTGTATGTATGTGTGTTTGTGTCAAGCAGAAACCATTTTTTTATTTCACCTCGAATTATTAGTTGCTTTAAGGCGTTTCACCACTAATCTGACTTTATCAACATAAGAAAGGTGGTAATATGCATCACATTTATTCTTATCAGTATCACACTTCAAATCAAGAAGCAAAATATGAATGACTTTCTTCATTAATTTATCAGTATATTATTTGTATTGCCCGGTACCTTATCTTTTCACTAACTTCCTCCCTCCTATAGTTACTTCAAAGAGGTAGCAACAAACCAGGTGATAATAAGCCAAGGACAGGAAAAGACATCGCTCAGATCACCTTTGACCTTTACCGTACGCACCCCAAAGATGTATTCGGCTCACTGAATGTGAAAGCCACATTCCAAGGGCTCTACTCTGTCAGTGCAGATTTTCAATGCTTGGGACCAAAAAAAGTCCTGAGGTAAGCAGGGTTCCCCTCTTAAAGGGATAGATCACTTTGAAATTAATTTTTGATATGTTTTAGCTTACCTCAAGGGCATCCAAGATGTAGGTGTCTTTGTTTTCGCAGTAGTTTCAATTTTGATATTTTTAGGTCAAACCGTTCTTGTCTGTCAGTCATATAATGCAGGCCTATGGTCACCACCTCAAAGAGCATGCACAGAGAAGTCCAAATTAAACATGATTTAATGACTCGTAAATGTAAGTACACATTGATGGCCTAAGACACGAAACGAGCGTTTGTGTGAGAAAACGAACAGTATTTATATCGTTTTTACCTCTTGTAACCACAGCCACGTCCAAGTGATCTGAGGGCGCGGGCGCTTCGTTCTGTGCGTTACAAGAGGTAAAAACAATATAAATACTGTATGTTTTCTCACACAAACAGCTCGTTTCGTGTCTTAGGCCATCAATGTGTACTTACATTTACGAGTCATTAAATCATGTTTAATTTGGACTTCTCTGTGCATGCTCTTTGAGGTGGTGACCATAGACCTGCATTAAATGACTGACAGACAAGAACGGTTTGACCTAAAAATATCAAAATTGAAACTACTGTGGAAACAAAGACACCTACATATTGGATGCCCTTGAGGTAAGCTAAAACATATCAAAAATTAATTTCAAAGTGAACTATCCCTTTAAACACTAAGCATTTTAAGGGTTTGTTTTACTAGTTATTTGCACAAAATAATCATTATCAATTAAGTCACTGAATTGTATTAAACCCATTTGTTGTGTGTCAGGGAGGCGCTCAGAGTCATGTCCAGTCTCCTCCATGCTGCTGGACACTTGCTGATCTCATCGGCTTCTGTAATTCGCCGTATAATCCAAGGGGCGGATCTTCTTCAAGCCCAACGTACCCAGCCTATCGAGTATTGGAATTAACTGGAGAAATCTATATTTTAAGACTTGAATCCGATATCACTAAGAATGTAACTGAGGGAGAGACATTGAGGTGTTTCCTAGATTTATATGGTAACATTAATGTTCAATTTAACATTAATGCATTAGGTAACATGAATGAACAACAATTTTACAACATTTATTAATCTAGGTAAATGTTCTTTTCTACTAGGGTTCAAAAGTTTGGGGTTGGTTATATTTTTAAAATGTTTTTGATAGAAATCTCTTATGCTTACCAAGACTGGATTTATTTGATCAAAACACACTAAAACATTAATATTTTAAAATATTATTACAATTTAAAGTTACTTTTTTATTTTAATATATTTTAAAATGTTACTTATTCATGTGATGGCAGAGCTGAATTTTCAGCATCATTACCGTCTTCAGTGTCACATGATCCTTCAGAAATCATTCTAATATGCTGATTCGCTGCTCAACTAACACTTAATATTATTGTTCCAACTTATGTTGGAAAAAGTTGTACTGGTTAACATTTTTGTGGAAATCATGATTCATTTTTCCAGGATTCTTTGATGAATAGAAATTTCAAAAGATCAGCATTTATTTGAAATGTTTAAATTGAATAGCAAAATATGCTAATACATTAGTACTATATTATATGCGGTTTATTTATAAATTAACATTCACCTAGATTAATAAATGCTGATTTTTTATTTTTTATCATTGTTAGATGATACTAATGCATTAACTAATGTTAATGAACTTTTTTTGTAAATTGTAAAGTTACCATTTATACCTTGCTGGTTTTATGGACAATTCATGGAAAAAGTTGCTCCAGGAAAATACTTAGGTTTCTATGAAAACCTAAGTTTCTATGCCTTTTAGGAGTCATTTTATATTTTTAGTCTAGGACTACCCAGTGTTACTTATTCTGTGTGTTTGACTCTCTTTATACATGTTCATTTCAATTGTACTATTCAATATGTTTACATGATAGACCACTGTATTATAATTTTATCTTCTCCATTTGATACACTGAAAAAAAGTGACCAATTGACTTAAAAAGGTGAGGAAACCCGTTGGCTTAAAACGATTAAGTAAATAAACTTAACTTAATTTTCTCAAATAGGCATGAAGTTCATTACTTGATAATTTTATGGCAGCGGGTTTCCTCACTTTTTTTAAAGATAAGTCAACTGATCACCTTTTACAGTATAGTCGCTTTGGATAGAAGTGTCAGCTAAATGAATAAATGTAAAAATGTAAATACAAAATTGTTGTAATGGTGAATGTTTAGAAAATAAACATGTTTTTAAGATCAATTTATTAGGTAAAACCAAACTGGTACAAAAAGCTTCAGCACAAAAAAAGACAGTCTTTCTAATTAGCTTAGTTAATGCATAGACTAATCAACTTCAAAAAGATACTACAAGATTTTAATTAGTTTTCAAAAAAAAGAAAAAAAAGGACCACAAACATGATTGGGAAAAAAATTAAAGCACATAAATTGTAGTATTATCATGTCAGAACAATGTTTCCGTCAAAGAAACATATCTGTGTAGCACACGTGTGGAGCTAAAAGATTTCAGTTATGCTGCTAATAACCTTAAATACAATTGACCTTTGTAAAAGCAAACATCTACATATCTAAGCACAAAGTGCAACTTAAACATGAAAATGGCAACATGCATGCATTCGCTCTGTTGAGACACACCGAGAATTCATTAGACCTCTGATGAAACAAGCTACCAAACAAAATACATTGTACTATAAATTCAGTGCCTTGCCATACACAGTTTTGTTTCGATTACTTTAAAGCACATATTCTAATACTAAATATTTTTGATTCAAGTAAGATGCTTAGGTTTGGAGATACATATTGCATAACAATGTTGTGAGAGAGGTTCTACAAGGCCCTGGTCATAGCATTAAATTGGGATAGAAATATCCAGATAGGTTAAGAAAAAAAAAAAAAGTATTTGTGTAACATCTTTGGCAGTGATGTGGAATTCAGTTTCCACCTATCTGCACAGCTACAAATGCCATTGCAAACTGACTTTGCTGCCGAGGTCAGAGTTCACCCTCAGGCAAAACTGGGGTTCCTCCTCGAAAAAGTTCATTCCAGTTTGTTGCTTCGCCCCCTCCACCTCCGTTGACTACAGTAGAATGACCCAAACTCAACCCAGAGCCCACGTTCTCAAACGAGACTCTTCCCCGTGAATACTTCCCGCCCCTTTTCTGTTGTTGCATTATGACGGCGATGATGCGTTCCCTCTCCTGTGAGGTCATCCAGCGCATCTGATTGTGTTTGACATGGTAACGCGTGTCTCCGTACCACTGGATGATCTCTGTCCTTGTCAGGCCCGTCTTCTGCTGGAGAATCAAGTAGTCGTCGCTTGTGGGCCACTGGCAGCGAAGGAAGTTTTGCCGCAAAATTTCCAACTGCTCCCTCGTCTTCTTACGAAGTCGCACGTTTGGTTCTACCCGGCCGCGGAGGAATGACGGAGACGGAGAAGGAGAAGGGGAGATATCTGCAGAGTACTGTTGAACGGAAGCGTTGCTGTCATCAAACTCACCTTCGTCACTTACTTCCTCCTTGGTCTCATTTGATTGGTTGAGCGGTTCCTCATCGTCAGCCACATCCACATCAACCTCAAATTCCGCTTCTGCTTCGTCAGCCTCGTCGTTGTCATAAAAATCAGCACCAGGTAGAGCATCGTTCTCCAGCTCGTTCTGAGAGTTCTGTTTGGGCAGCTGCATTGCCCGATTGCGCCCAGCGAGCTTGGCTAGCCATGCCCGGCCGTTCTTGCGAAGCTGGTAGCGACTGTCAGCGAACCATTTGCGGATTTCACGTCGATTAAGTCCAGTCATTTTCTGGAGCCGCTGAACCTCGCCGTCAGAGGGCCAAGACTTCTGTACAAAACTGCGGCGCAGGGCCATCAGCTGCGCTTTCGATTTTTTCCCTGGCAAGCAGTGTAGAGACTGTGAAAGCTCGGGGACTTCGGGGTATGGCATTGCGGTCTGTTGATCGTTCATAATCACGAACGGTGAACGTCCATAGGCATCGAGCAGCTGGACTCCAGTATTGTGAGGCGGTACGTTTCTACTATCACTTTGGAAGTGGGGATTAACTTGAGGAACTTGGGATGCAGGTCCAAGACCGTTTTTGTACACGACATTAGAACTGAGCAACTGCTGCACACCGTTATTGGATTGGGAAGCATTATTCTGGCTAAAATGCAAGCGGTTTTGGTCACTGATGATGTGTTGAGGAACAGTACGGCTGGGTTTAGGCGTGTGGTCTCTCTGATCTACATGGGCATCTGCCGCAGGTGGTGGTATAAAATCCTGTTGCGTTTCATCACGTCCTAAACAATCCTCCTCGTCGTTGATTTCCACACACTCCTCGGCGACCCCTTTTTTCTGAATTCGCCACAGCTTGCGTCGCGTTTCTTGGATGTCGTCATCAGCCCAGCTAATTCCGTAACGTACCCGTTGCATCATGAACCACGCTTTAACTCTCTCCGGCGGTAATTCACACTTTCGAGCTAGAGCGCTCGCCTCCTGTGATGTGGGGTATGGGAACTCATTAAACGCTTCCACGAGTTCTGACACGGCATCCAGCTCGTGGACCTGCTCCGAGCGCACCCAGATGAGTTTTAACCCCTCGGATACCAATGGAAGACAGACTAGGTTAGCCTGGTTGTGTGTTGATGTGCCAGAGGAGGCCGTTTGCTTCTTTTGGCAGGACTTCTTAGTCCCTGAAGAGCAGGGTGACTTCTCCTGAGGCAATTCGGGGGATGAGCTCTGCGTTTCTTCAGGAGCAGGCGAGACGTCCATCTTCTCTTGTTCTTTTGCCTCCACGGAGGAGGTCGTCTCATTTGAGTCTTCGGGAGTCTGAAGTGAAGTAGATTCAGATCCCTCAGTGGTGACTGGCTGAAAAGAGTGAGATCAAGAAATATGAATACAAAATGCATCAGGTGAGAAATACATAATCCACAAATTTCTCCAATAAGGTTAAAATGCCACAAAAGGCAATCACTGCAGTTAAAGTCACCATGAAATCAAAATTGACAATTATTTTTTTTTAAATGGAATACTGCAGTGTTTATTATAAATTATTTACCCATGCACATCATTCTTTTTTTTAAATTCATAAGCCCTCGTAATCTTTAATATTAACTTTTCCTCCCCCTCGCAACGATATCTCTTCTCTGATGAAATGTGCACTAATGCGAGGGCTGGACAATAATGCTTCCCCTCCAGCAAACTGTCACTCACATGACATCACAACAATTAAATTACTAGGGCACTGTGATATTCCATAAAAAATAAAAATTGGCGATTTTGATTTAATTTTGACCTTAACATATTGGCTGTGTCCCAATTCAGGGGCTGCGTATAAGAGTCTGTTTTATAGTGGTTGCTTTTCTGATACATCCTCAGTGACGGTATGCACCCTCCGCCGGAAATGACAAAAAATATGTTTGTTGACACAGCAATTATGCTTGTTTTCAAATAGGGCCCCCTCTCAACACTCTCCCTCTGCCATTGGTTTGTCAAAGAGTTAATCCCGCCCCAAACAATAGCTTTTACACTGTACACTAGGAATAGCGTAAAAGCTCTCTGCATATTAAGCCGTAATAGGAGAAATTATTTACATTTAAACAAATACTCTATTTACAGAATCTTTAGTGGACCACACAGCTAACAAAAACACACGCACATCAATAATGATATTAACACCAAAACGTTACTTACTTTATCCTTGACAACGCTTTTTCCCAGGTCACCCACTCGCTCCTCCTCGAGCGCTCCACATCGCTCGTTCCTCACCGAATCCGCAAGGCTGGTAACAGGGTGAGCGGCGTGCAGATGCTGACTGAGACATTTAACATCTTGCGCTTTATAACCACAAATCCGACACTCGTAAGCATCCTTAACCGTCTCCCCAGCATCTCCTCCAGGCTTTTCCGCTGGGTCTGGTGGTGGAGAGTGCGTGCTTGCGCTCTCGAGCTGCGGAGCTGCGCACTGCTCCATGGCAACCTATGCACGACCTAGCCAAGACGCAATTCATACAAGCTAACAGAGATCAGGTAGCTAAATTTCTCCCACAACAAAGACGGTGCGCAATACTCCACAGGATGCAACGAGTTTCATTTGAATAAAATATATGTATATACGGAGTCCACATGAAAGAGTTGAATGCTGAATCCGAATTTATGGCCACACTGGTCAGAGTATTGAACAAAGGCTGGCTAGCCAGCGAGCTAGCACAAGAGCTTGTCGTGGTGGCTTCACACAGAAGCACAAAAAAGTAAAAATAGTCAGCTCGGATGCAACCTGGTTTATTTATTGCTTTTCTATCCTTCATTAGATGTAGTTACTTAAGAAATAAGGCAATTACAAGTGCCACTCCGAGCCAATTGCACTCGCCTACGGGTCGCACAGTTGTCCAGAAGGCTGTCATAGGTTTGGTTTGTCGCATCCTCCGAGTGTGAAGCCAGAGCGGCTTCAAAATAAAAGTTCATCGACAGCCGCTTTCTCTTTTCTGATTCAAGAAGTTTTATTGAGATGGTAAAATAGCTTTACATTTCCAAAACATTAGTAACAGTATAGCATACACACATTTGCACACATACAAATATAATAAGATAAGTAAAAAAATAAGAACAGGTTATGTTTAATCATAAAACAAATTATTTCAGGGATGTCCTCGTTTACAAACACTGTTAACAAATACATTTTAACAATGGTTTCTTTAGGATTAGATATTAGTCTAGCATTTATAATTTGCTTGATATTAAAGCCATAAACAAAAAGGTGTGTGTGTGTGTGTGTGTGTCAATGTGATTGTACATGGACTTCACTTGACATTACTTTTGAGAAGTAGAAATGACAAGTCAATTCTACAATAAAATAAAAATTCTTTCTCTTTTTTATTCAGAAATTGATGTGCTTTGTTATGGAATTGACATGTATTTTGATCAAATAAATGATGAAATTATTTATTTTATTCAATTTTACTAGTGTGTCTGACTCTGAACTTATGCCCTTGGCATGTTTTCAAAAATTGTACAGCACATTGGTCAACTACCCGTTGTTTTTAATTGTGCTTTATAAATAAATTACCTTACCTTACCTTATATACAATCAAAATGTTAATTAAGATATTATCATTTATTGATACTGATTCAGTCTTACCGTTTTCTTCTAATCAGCAGTGAAAGGCTTTCCATTTACTGGAAAGGTAAATTGTCTCAATTTGATCTTGAAACACTTGAAAAAACATCTGTAAGATTTAAAACATAGCTAAATCTTGCCATTCAATTTGTACTGGTTTAGCAAGTACATCAATGTAGAACAATAATGATTATCGCAGAAAACTTAGTAAGAACTAAAGTTGATATTAAGACTGTTAGTCAAGTCAGTTTTTTTTAATATACATTTTAAATTCAACCTTGTTAATAATTAAGTCAGACATTAGTAATGGATCAAATAAATGGGAGGATAAAATGAAAATTTTGGCTATGTCAGTAAATGTGTTGTCCATATAGTAAAAGATTAAAGGTTACATGAACCATCATAAACATCTCTGTATCCTAAATATCATTTTATTAGTAATATATTAACAGGCACCATAAAAATACTGTAAATAGAAACCAAAGGTCAGTTTCTGTATATAAAGAGAGTCTTAGGGTTTCAACAGACTCATAGTCATATGTGAAGACAGAGAGTGACAAAGAGAGAAAACATTCTGAATATTTGAAGTGAAAACGAGAAGATCAGCAGCAAGTATGTCGGCCACACATAAAGTTCCAGAGAAACTCTTATTTGTGAGCTGTGATTTATGTGTGGAGGTGAAAACTCCGGCACTGAAGACCTGCTTAAAGTCTGAAATCTCTATGTGTGTTCAGCACCTATACAGACCCACCTGACCACTCCAGTGCTGCTGCAAACCCATCCGCTGACTAACCCAGAATCAGGTTCCTCTAGTCAAATGGCCAGCAAATGCTCAGCTCACGACAAGCTAGTGGAATACTACTGCCTGGATGATCGTGTATTGGTGTGCATGTCTTGTGTCATCGAGAAAGGACATTGTCTGCATAACATGAAGACGCTACAGACTGCCATCTGGAGCTGGTGGATCAACTGAAAGAAGAGTTAGAGACTCTGGCTCAGAGGCAGAACCAGGCAAAGAAGCTGGAAATGTGGCATAAAGACCAAATACAGACTCTGGAGGACTGTGTTAGTCAGCTCATGGAGACCGGATTTGCCCTGAAGGATCTGGTCTTTACAAGTTTAGAGACCTCAGTATCAGCCAGACTGGGGACACTTCTGAAAGTTCAGTTCAGTTCAGCTGGAGGAAAGGGATCATTTCAGCTTCTTGCAGAAATTTGCCAGTGTACAGAAAGCTATGATGGACGCTCACATAGTGGATCTGAAACAGGGAATCAGAACCCGATCGCACTAAATTAATTGAAAATATCAAAAAGACTGGACCAATTATTAAGAAGCAGGAGGATAAACTCCAGGAAAAGTTTCTTGCTGTTGCTGACCATGAATATCACTCATTTGCACAAAATGAAGCAAAAGTGGTCTCGGAGCTGACCTTTGACCCTCTGACTCTAGGGCCCGGGATGACTCTGTCTAAAGATCTTAAAACACTGTGCTTCAACTCCTCTGCCACGAAACTGGCCGAGAATCACATTGTTCGCTGCCTGCAACATTTTCGAACAGACATGCGCTGGTTCTTCCAACTCTCCGAACATTTTGACTGGACCATTGGTCTTTGTGACACCTCAGCCACTAACAGATATTATTCAGAGGTATACGGATTGAAGAAAATCAATAATAATCTCTCTTTTTTTGAAAACACATATGAAGAAAAGAGCAATATATTACAGAAGAGCGTAAGATTACACAGAGTGAAATTACAGAATCACAACAGGTTTAGGTTTAGATCTGAAGTACATGTGCCACATGAATTCCCGGCCAACAGTGCATGGAAGAAAGAAGCGACCTGGGACTACATTTCACAGCTGCTAACCTTTTACAGCAGAAACAAACCAACCAAAGGTTGTTTACTGTGTGAACTCAAAACAAATACGTACAACGACAGACTTTGCCCCTTTTTTTGCCTTGGAAAACATAACTCCACAAACCAAAAGAAACACGAGACAAAATGACCTATATGGTGCAGATGGCAGTTCATAATATACAGAAATACTCTGTGTGCTCAAACAATAATCAGAGATGAAAATGTAAAAGGATCATTGCAACGTATAGTTTTTTTATTTTCTATTCTTGTTAATTGTTTTGTTTACATATTATGAATGATATTTTTAATTAAATAAAAGTTTTCATGCAGTAACCTGTTTTTTGTTACTTGTAAAAATATATATTTTTAAAGCTTAAGCACTCATTTAATCTTATTTTAAAGCAAGTTCTCATGTAGAATTGTAATTATTTTATGTAAATGCATACTAAATCATAGTTCCCAAATGTCATCAATGTACCCAAATGCTTAAGTTCTAAGTGATTAGGGAGGAGATGAGTCTATTCCAACTTCAATAAACAAAGATAAATAATTTTTTTTTTTTTTTCTTTTAGCATCCTGGACTCCTCATCATCCATCTTCTGGATGAAGAATTCCTTTCTTAAGATGATATTCAAAAATATTCTGTGAGGTATTTCTGTCATGCATATAATTAGACAAGATGTGTTACTGTAGGATGATGTGGAAAGTCAACTGACGATTCTTCTTCATAGACACAGTGGAAGAGAATTTTAACAACTGTGCGTGATATTTGTTGTGTCAAACTTTACACCAGCATGTTACTTTTGTTTCTTTTGACGTATTTGTTGTACATCAAAGTACAACAATAATGATTATTGCTGAAAACTTGAAGAACTGAAGATGATAATAAAGACTGTTGTAGTCAAGTCAATTAAATGAACATACTTTTTAATTTTTTTAATTTAACCTTGTTAATAATAAAGTCAGACGTAAGTCATGATTCCCCATGGAACAAAAAGGGAGGATGAAAAAAAAAGTGGCTATATCAGTTAACGAGTTGTGCAAGTAAAGAATAAAGGTCACAAATGAACCATCATAAACATCTCTTTATCCTAGCAAATATAATTTCATTAGTAATATATTAACATGCACCATGAAAATACTGCAAACTGAATCCAAAGGTCAGTTTCTGTGTATATAAAGAAACTCTTAGAGGGTTTTAACTTACAGACTCATAGTGAAGACAGAGAGAGAGATCTTATTACATTTGTAACAAAACGTTCTGAATATTTGAAGTGAAACAAGAAAATCAGCAGCTTTTGATGAATGTACTCAGATATCAACTCTTACTTCTCGTGTGATCAATGTTAAAATCAATTAGCATGTTTAAAATAAATTCATTATTGCTTGAAAAGCTAAGGACACTATTTCAATTCACACTTCTTCAGGAACCCCAATTCACCACCAATAAAGGTTCTTTTTTGGCAACTTTAGTTCTGTGAAGAACCTTAAACATCCACAGAACCTTTCCACTGCACAAAATGTTCTTTATAGTGGAAAAAAATTCTTCAGATTATTAAAAAGTGTTTCACACAAAGAAAAAATGTGCTTTTAAGAACTGTTCTGTGAAAGGTTCTATATGGGGAACCAAAAATGGTTCTGTAATGGCATCACTGCGAAAACCTTTCGGAACCTTTTTTTAAGAGTAAAACAAATTCTCAAAGTCATTCTCAAACTGCGTGACATTAGCAGGTTAAATGCTGGGGAACTTATCCTCGATCTAACTCACTGTGTCTTTCACAAATCAAAAAACACAGTCTAGTTGGAAATGTACAAACTCTTGACATTTTCCTTACAAGAGTTCATCATTTGAGAGGCAGTGTTGAGTTGGCCATTAGCGACTGCTGCAAATAAAATTGAATTTTTTTTTCTCAAAATGTTCCTATTTACACACTACATCATACAAGATTAGGGTTGGGTAACGGTTGGGTTTTATCCGATACCAGTACCTACTCGGTATTTTTTAAACGGTTCCGGTGCCTAAACGGTTCTTGAAACGGTACTTAAGAAAACGAAACCGCACACACTTTATCAAAAAATAATACCCTTTTATTTACAGGGCCAAACTGGACACAATATTAACTTAAATCTTTAAACAATATAAATACAAATAATAATAAAACCAATATAAAATAAAAATGCACATTTACATAATATCAAATAAAACAATATTGTATCAAACAATGTAATAATACTGGATGTTTGGAAGTTTCCTGTCTGTCCTGCAGTTGCCACGCCCATTTTTTCTTTGCCACTCAGTTCCCCATGCAGTTCCCCACACCTTCATCTAATTAGCTCCAATCAGCCACAGACTTTATTAGACAGCACCTGTGCACAGCCCTTTCTCTTTGTTCCTGCCACATGGAGGAATCCTTGTATGTTGCTGCTGGAAATGCCTTGTCTCCTGCCCTGTGTGCGTTATTGAACTATGTAAGTTCCATACGTTTCTCCTTTGATCGTATGTTACTTTATGAGACTGTTCCTTTCTGTCTGTTTAAAGGTACAAATGTTTGGTTGTCATTCAAATGGATTGTGGCCTTGTATTGTGGCATTATGTAGCTAATTGTATCTCATATCATTTCCCTTTTAGAAACCACACATACACACACATGTATATACAAACATACCTAATAAAGAAAGACATTGTGTAATCAAGTGACTGGACAAGACTGTTCTTATCGACAACTCCACTGGTCTCAAGCCAGCTACCTGCACATCCCTCTCAAACCTCCTTTTCATGGTCCTTCGAGCCGGAGCCCATTGATGATCGGTGGATATGTCCAGTCACTCCTTGCCTTCGTTACTTCAGCGTCCTCACCGCCAAGCCCAGCGTCCTGTACGCTATGATGATTACGTCATGGAATATGGTCAGCAGCCACGACATCCTGCTGAAGCACCAGAGCCACCACCGCTTCACTCTGCAGACATTTTTGGTGTTGGACCTCAGTATCAACCACAGCATGAGTCTGAGGAGGAGGAAGAGCCACCTCAACTACCCAGTGAGGAGGAAGAGGCACATCAACTACCCAGCGAGGAAGAGCCAGCAACAGAGCCTCCCTCACCTGTCTCTTCTGGGAGAGCCCTAGCCCCTGAGTACCCACGTGACCCTCATGTAGCCTCAATTCCTGACCCTCAAACTGAGCTCTTACAGCAGTTACTAGAAGAAGTAAGAAACCAAGGTAGACTAATCCAGCGCTGTATGCTTGGTGAAGGCCAATTCTCACGGTCTCGTTCAGGACCATCCCCTGAAAACCTTGGCCCTCAGTTAGTAGCATCACAAGCCCAGTATGCTGCAATGCCACTCCAGGCTACCACAAGTGACTATAAGCCCTTTTCTTCCCCACCTCGGCAGCAGCTTCTTTATCAACCTCCTGTAAGCTGTGCCCCTGCCATTCAGCCCTTAGCTCAGCCCTGGCAGCACACGAATCCTTCTGATCATAGTAAGTTCCTTGCCACCCGTCAAGTCCCAGTCTCACGTAACCCCTTGCTCCCAGGCTACATGTTGTCACCTCAAATTTCGCCTAGAGCTATGGCCCACTCTGCCCAGCCAGCATACCAGCTCAGCAATGTGCAGCCTCACCAGCTTATTTCTGCAGCCCCACCAAGCCATTTAGCTCCCCCTTCAGGCCGACTGCAGTCATATAGCAAGGTAGAAGGTCCCTCATTCCCTGATCTTACTAGAGAGGATGAAAGCCAGTATATAATGTTAAAGATGGCCCTATCCAACCTGTTGGACCCAAGAGAGTCGGAGCAGTATAAATATCATATCTTACTGGATCACTTAAAGGTAGATCAGGCGAAGCGGCTTGCCTTAGCTTATGTTTATGCCCAAGATCCCTACACTCAAGCTATTCGGGCCCTAGATGAGCGTTATGGCCAACCCAGACAGCTTGCTCTGAGAGAGCTCCGGGATATAATGGAGATGCCTGCTATCCGGATAGGGGATGGGAGAGGCCTAGATCAGTTTTCCCTTAGAGTACAAGCCTTAGTGGGTCTCCTCCAGTCCATGGGCCGTGAAGGTCTCTCCGAGCTTACCTGTGGCTCACATGTCGAGCGGCTACTAGAAAAACTACCCAGTGAGCACTTTTGTCAGTTTAAGAGAAGCATGAGTTTGACCAAACCAGGTCCCCTTTCCTATAACCTCCTAGATTTCTCCTCCTGGTTGCAACAGGAAACCCGCTGCCAGCCCAGAAGGGAGAGAACCCTTCAGCCTGTCCGACCAAGGCCACCACCCTTTCACCCATTCAGAGCTACAGCTATACTTCATGGTAGCAAGACTTCCCAAATGACCTCCCCTAAAGTCCAGATAGCTCCTCCTAGAGCCAGTCAGTTTCCCCCCAACATCACATCCACACGCTGTCCAGTGTGTGCTTACTGTAACTCCCCTGAACATCATGTCAGTAAATGTGATGACTTCCTCCAGCTCACTGAAGATCAGAGAACTAGTTGGATCAAAGGACAGAAACGCTGCTGGCGATGTGCACGAGACCACTTTGCAGACCAGTGTGATCTGAAGGGACGCTGCAACCAATGCAATGGGAAACATCTGCAGGTCCTATGCAACATCAACCAGAGGCAAGTGCAGAACTTCTACCTAGACCATCCTAGCGATTGCAATAAAGTGCTGCTGAAGGTAGTTGAAGTGACCCTACGTAATGGAAACAAGTCCTTAGACACGTATGCCATATTGGATGATGGGTCAGAACGTACGATCCTCCTGCATCCTGCCGCCCAGAAGCTCCAGTTGGTAGGAGAGTCTGAGAGCCTGAAGCTGAGGACTGTGAAACAGGATGTCCAGACTCTAAATGGTGCCGCCGTGTCCTTCACCATTATTCCAAAGGCCCATCCAGAGAAATCCTATGCCATCAGGCATGCCTTCACTGCTGATCAGCTTTCCTTATCCGAACATTCTCATCCTGTGAAATCCCTCCAGCGGCGCTACATTCATCTCCGCCAGATTCCCTTGAAGCAGCATGATAACGTAAGCCCCCTTCTACTCATAGGAGCTGATCATACCCACCTTATCACTCCAACACTGCCTGTAAAGTTAGGCCCCCCCGGAGCCCCTGTAGCAATCAAAACCCGTCTCGGCTGGACGTTACAGGGCCCTGCTAGAGATCTTGTTAGCTCTCCCTCACAGGCCAAGTGTCACTATATCTCCTTTAAATGCCCACCTGATGACATCCACCACAATGTGCAAAAACTGTGGCAGCTGGACACAGTGCCTCCTAGGAACACAAAATTGGTTGTCCGCTCTAAACAGGACCAAGATGCAATTCACCAGCTGGAGACTCAAACCATCCGAATTCCTGTTGATGACGTCCTACGGTATGCCACACCTCTCCTCCGAGCAGATCCCTGGCCCCCTCTAAAAGCCCCTAAGGAAGCAGTTATGTCCCGTCTTCGCAGCTGTGAGAGGCGACTGCTCCAAAACCCCTCACAGGCGGAGACCTATACCAGAGAGATCCAGAAGTTGGTTGATGCGGGGTATGTCAAGAAGTTAACCTTATCTGAAGTAGAAGATACTCCTGAGTCTTGGTACATACCTCATCACATTGTGCGTCATAATGGAAAGGACCGCATT